TCTTCTGCTCTTCAGTGTTTAGTTATCTAACATATCAAATTTGTTCTTCAGATGATCTCTAAATTTAGGTGGGATACATTAGAGGCCATATTTTGTTTTGTGAACTTGCTTTAATTTTCTTCAGCTTCAGCCTGAATTTGCACATGAGCAATTGATGGTCTCTTCCCCAGTCTGACCCTGGCCTTATTTTGGCTGATGATATGCAGCTTTTCCACCATCTCTTTCCACAGATATAGTCAATTTTATTCCTGTGTATCCCATCTGGTGAGGTTCATGTTTAAGCAATCTTTTATTGCTTAATATATAATCTTTAAAAAAGGTACTTGCAATGTGGCAGTCATTGGTTTTTCAAAATTCTATCATGTGATGCCTAGCATTGCTTCTATCACATAAGCCATGTTTTCCAATTACTGATCCTTCCATGATTGCATGTTTGATCAATTTCATACTGAAGAAGTTGTTAAAATTTGAAGTATTAACTGATCTTTCTTGTAGGTGTATGGATTTTATCCTATCACAGAGAGTGTTGTACTTCAAGACAGTTCTCTTTTTCGGGAGATGAATGTGATGCAATTCCTTTAAAATTTGTCATTCCTGGCCTAGTAAACCATGTAATTGTCAGATTAAAAATGGGTGTTTCATATCATTTTTGACAGTTTCCAATTTTCCATGTTTTGATTATTAATGGATGTTTACAGATATTTCTCTTCATTTTGAGTTTTGCCTTGGTAGTGTAGTAGATTAGGAACTAGGTTGCTAACTTCAAGATCGGTAGTTTGAATCTACTAGTCACCCCAAAAGAGAAAGAGGAGACTTTCTTGCAAAGATCTACAGCCTTGGAAACCCTATACAAGATTGAGAGGGGCTGGAACCAACTCGGTGGCACACAACCACCACCAATATTACATAAGACAGACTTGTAGGGATGATGCTTTACTACAAATAAAGATGTTTCATAGTAAGAGAATGCTAATTTTATTTGTATTGACAAAAAACAGTTCTAATATACGCATGGGGGTCCTGGTGTAGTGCTGTAGGATAAACACTTGACCGTTGGTCCTTTTGAACTGCAAGGTTGGTGGTTCAAACTCACCAGCCACTCCTTGGAAACCCGATACAGGATTGCTATGAGTCGGAACCTACTTGATGGCATTTAACAACAATAACAACGATATTTGTAAAACAAAATGTAACTGAATTTAAAGGAGAAATACATAAATCTAAAAGTACAGTGGGGAATTTCAACATAAATCTCAATAGTTGATAGACCAAGCAGACAGAATTTACTAATGACATATCATATCTGTACAAGATGATTGTCCTACTTAACTAGTGCAGATGTAACAGAAATACAAGTGGGTTGCTTTAACAGATATTTATTCTTTCCCAGTCTAGGAGGCTAGATGTCCTAAATCTGAGTGCCAGCTCTAGGGGAAGACTTTCTCTGTTGGTTCTGGAGGAAGGCCTTTATCTCTCCAGTATCCTGGTTCCTATGAGATCTGCAAGTGCCTGCTATCTACCTTACCCCATCTTGCTTACTCTTCATTGCTTACTTAATCCCTTTTTATATCTCAAACGAGATGGACTTAAGATACACCTTACACTAATCCTGCCTTATTAACAGAACACAACCTATTCCCCAATGGGATTATAACCACAGTCATAAAGGTTAAGATTACAACATATATTTTGGGGGACATAATTCAATCCAAGACAACAATGAACCAATTTGACATAATAGACCTGCAAACTGCAAGGTCACCAGCCACTCTACAGGAGAAAAGATGAGGCTTGCTATTCCCTCAAAGACGTAAAAGGCCTCAGAAACCCTATACAGGGAATCGAAATGAACTCAATGACACTAAACAGCAACAAATAGGACATTGTAACTAACAATGTCAAAATACACATTCTTTTAAAGTGCACATGGAGCATTTACCAAAACTGATTATCAAGTGGGTCACAAAGCAAGTCTCAATAGATTTCAAAGGTTAGAAATCATTCAGAATATGTTTTCTGGCCCGGGAAATCAGTAACACAAAGATAACTAGAAAATTGCATGTCTATCTGCCAGGAGAAACCACGTCCCTGGTTATATCCAATTTTTTTCCTGCAATGAGCCTACACTTGGTGAGCTGCAGAGAAAGACACAACTCTGCAGCTTCATTTAAATTTACATCCTTACATGGACCCTCAGTTGTTGTTCAGAAGTTCTAGCTCATTTTTCCAGTCAATTCAATCTCAATGTCAACCTTTCACCTCTTTCCTCAAACCTCCAGCTGTGATGATGATTTTTTTTCCTTTGTATTCCACTGAAAACATAAACCAGAAGAGAACTCGTCCATTTACCACCAATTGTGTCACTTATTTGCATCTGTGCCCGGATACTTTCCATTTCTTCCTATTATCATGAAAGAATGTTCATGCATTTATCTAAGTTGTAGCATCTACTTTTATGTACTCTGGATTCCACTGGCGTCTGCCTACTCTGATGAGGCAAGAGAAAAAGGGAAGGATTGGAGGAAGAGTTATTCTCATTAGAATACAAAATACTGTAATACTGCCTATTGGAAAAAAAAAAATATCTTGGCATTCTCTCTAGCTTCTTCCTCACTTGTCTACTTTGACTCAACTTTATAACGGCACTCCTCAAGATGGTTGCCTACATTTACCATCTCCATTCCCTCACCTACCATCCTAACTTGAACCTACTCTAACAGGTCTTCATAATATATTATCATACTACCAATTCCTACCAAGGTGATTCATGACGTCTGTAGTACCAGATCCAGTTTTCAGCAGAATTTGACATCATTAATTGGTAACTTTGCCTTGAAACATTCTCTTCTCTTAGTTTTTGGAATGTCATTCCCTCCTAATTTTCTTCCTACCTCCTGTTGTTGTTAAGTGCTGTTGAGTTAGTTCCAACTCATAGTGACGCTGTATAGATAAGTTTCCAAGGCAGTAAATCTTTGCAACAGCAGAAAGCCTTGTTTTTTTCCCATGTAGTGGCTGGTAGGTTTGAACCACCAATCTTGTCGTTTGCAGCCAGGTGCTTGTCATAGAGAGTCACTGAGCTACTCCTAATTAAGTCTTCTTTGTTGACTCCTTCGTGATATCATTTAGAGAAATGCTGGAGTGCTCAGGGATCCAACTGTGACCTCCTTTCCATCTATGGTACCCAAGGTGACTTCATCCCATTGCTTATTGTACAGTGTCACCGTTGTTGTTGTTGTTGTGTGCTGTGGAGTCGGTTCCGACTCATAGTGACCCTGTACAGGGTTTCCGAGGCTGTAAATCTTTATGGGAGCAGAAAGCCTCATCTTTCTCCCATGGAGCGGCTGGGAGTTTTGAACTGCTGACCCTGAGATTAGCAGCCCGATTCATAACCACTATGCTCCTAGAGTCACTGAGCTACTCCTTATATTAGTCTTTGTTGACTCTTCCTGATTACATTTAGAGAAATGTTGGAGTGCTCAGGGTTCCAACTGTGACCTTTTCTCCATCTATGATACCCTAGGCGACTTCATCTTAATGCTTTTTAGACATCTCTATTTATATACCTAATAGCATCTTAAACTTAACTGAATTCTTAATTTGCCTCCAACGGATTCATGCTCTGCCTTTTCCCTCTGCCTTATACAGTCTCTCTTATCATAAGGTATTAATTTCTTAGTGCTCTTATAACAAATTACCACAGTCTTGGTGGCTTTAAACAAGACAGATTTATTCTTTCACAGTTCTAGAGGCCAGAAGTCTGAATTCAAAGTTACTGTGCTAAAATCAATGTGTTGGCAGGGTCATGCTTCCTCTAGAAGGAAAGTCTATTCCCTTGCCTTTTGCAGCCTCTAGAGCTGTACTCTTTGCTTTCCTTGGCTCATGGTCCCTTCCTGTGTCTTCAAAGCCAGCTGTGGCCATATTGCCTACTTCAGTGCTGTCAAGGGTCCCCGTGTCTCCTTCTTATAAGGACACTTGTGATTTCGTTTAGTACCTACCCAGAAATCCAGAATAATGTCATTTCAAGATATGTTATTTAATCCTATCTCTTTTGTCATGTAAGGTAACAGTCACAGGTTCTGTGAATTAGGACATGGGCATTCTAGGGGCCGTTATTCAGCCTACCACATGTAGCAAGTGGTACCACAGTTCTACAGTTGCGTATGTCAAAACATAACAACAGCTTGGAATCATCCCTGATACCTCTTTTTTCCAAACCTTACATTCACATTCACTCCATCAAAAAATGATTTTGGGCTTCACGTTCAAAATACAAGGACCTGATCACTTTTCATCACCTCCCACCTGAACTTTTCAATGACCACCCTGCCTGCCTTACCTTTTTTTCAAACAACACCCAGACTGACTCTTTACAAATCTGAGATCTTGTCACTTCCCTGATGAAAATCCTTTGATGGCTTTCTATTTCACTTTGGATTTTATTCTAAGTCCTAATTGGTCTCCAAGGTCCTACATGAGCTGGCTTTTGTTTACTTCTGGCTTCGATGCATCCTACTCTTGTCCTCCTTCACTATACTCCAGCTACACTAGCCTTCCTTCATTCCCAGAGTCTCAATCCCACTTGGTCTCAGATTCTACTCACTTCCAGAGAGAGGACCAGTTGAAATTAGTCTTCCAGTTCCTCTGTCAAATTTCACCTTTTCTCCCTGCCCGCCAACCCGCCCCCTCTCCCTCACTCCCTAGCCCTTACTGTTTACTGTTCCCTAAAATTCTGATTTATTGCCTGTCTTCCCAACTAGACTATACGTTCCAAGAGCACAGGGACTTCATTGCTCATTACAGCTGTTTTTCAACCACCAAGAACCGTGCTTGGCACATAGTAGACAATAAATACTTAATGAATGACTGCATACGAATCTTCATTTTTCCCACTCCTTCTCCCCCAATCTGACCACATCCCATAGGACCTAATGAATGTACAGAAAGCAAAGAAGAATGTGACTGGAATTTGAATCTCCACTGACTCTCTTAAAGAGATGTACCTGTAGGACTTTCTGTGCTTGAACATCAATCACAAGGACTCTGCTCAAGGCTGGCTGGGCCACATAGATGTATCGGTTCCTGACGTTGACTGCAGATGCCCACTGGCATGGCGGGGTGGCACCTTCTGCTTGAGGACATATTTCTTCCTGTAAAGGAGACAGGCTGCCATGTGTCTTCTTGATATCACGTGATCCTCCCTCCCCCCACCACCATCTCTGGTTTGCTCTCTCAGTATTCTTCAACTCCACAGAAAACGGCAGAGCAAGCCTCCTTTGTTGTTGGGTGCGGTGGAGTTGGTACTGACTCACAGTGACCCTATGCACAACTGAATGATACACTACCAGGCCCTGTACCATCCTCACAATTGTTGTTACCTCCTATAGTACCAGCTTTTTCACTTATCTGTTGAAGTCCTGGTGTGGTGCTGTAGGATAAGCACTGGATAGACAGGTCAGTTGAACCGCAGGGTTGGTGGTTCAAACTCACCAGCTGCAATTCAGAAACCCTATACAGGGTTGTTATGAGTTATAACCAACTCATTAGCATTTAACAACAACAACGACATTACATTATACTGCTTTCTGCTAGACAAATGGGCGTGTAGTCCAGCAGAGGGATCTGAGAGAAGGTTTTGTCCCACTGTGACCCTCCTGTGAGGTGTTTTCTAATGCGAAATGAAAATTGGGGCTCACCACGGCCCTGTATTACCTACAGTGCCTACAGGACCTCTCTCATTGTGTTCTGTTTTAACTTGTTATCCAGGAAAATGCAGTCCTCGTCAGGAACAAGGAGACCTCTCCCAAGACACAGGTAGGGTTATTTTATTGCAAATACATGTGAATATCAGTGCCCATATGTGATGGAGGGCAATTATTTCAAGCAAACTGCTGGAAGTTAACTAAGACTATTCTTTCAAAATGTCTTCATGGCTATTAAGTGGAGGTAAAATTCATCTGAGGTAGCACTTTTAAACATGATTAATTCAAATGAAATCACCTGGAAAACAGCTGTTTCTAAGCTACAAAAGTGAGGAATGCAAGAGCCCGAGAAACCCCAGCAGCCAGAAGGGCAATGCAGTAGTAAGCTTGCTTCAGGAACTTGCCTGGGCCCTGATACCTCCTCCAGCTCCAAGCCCATCGCGGTCCACCGAGTCACATTAACCCATGCTGAGGCAGGTGGTGACCCTTCAGCAGCAGGGATTTTAGATGACCTTTTGGATTCAAAGCCATAGTTCTACCTTAAGGAACTTAGGGTTGAGTAGAAGAGGTAAGACCCTCACACAAGAAACCAACACCACATTGAGAGAAAAGCAAGAGGGCCAGACACCTGGTGTGGGGTAGGAGAGTGCAGCCTAGGGACAACCTTTGGCAGTTGGGTCTTAGGGCTGGGAGAGCTTTTCTCTTACCTGGGTCCTTCAGCATCAAACATCTCTCCTGCCTCTGCTACTGCACGTTACATTATCACTTTCTATTCTGCTTCTTACTGTTAACAGTGCTCTGACCTGAGCATTTACATGTTTTCATCTCTCTCCCTAGTGCCTTGAAGACCACCAGTGAGACCTGCAAGCTCTCCTCCTATGCTGCCTGGCGGACAACTCCATGCTTTTGCAAATCTGCTCTTCTTTGGGGTCTGTGATCCCATGTTCTCCTTGACACTTCATTTACTTGTAGGAGAACCCAGGCTTCCCCAGAACTGGGTACATGTGTCCCATGGCACCTCAACTCAGCCCATCCCACGCCAGCTCACCAGCAAGCCCAGGGCCTGGCATGTGACACAAGACTGCTAGAGTGTTGGACGAATGGGCTGTAGTCTCTACAATTGGCTCCTCTTCCTTCTGTGTGAAGGGTACTATTCTTCTAGTGAGACTGAGTCATCCTCCTGGTCCCTGGTGGTTGTTATGTGCCGCGGAGTCAGTTCCGGCCCATAACAACCCTGTACAGGGTTTCTGAAGTTGTAAATCTTTATGGGAGCAGAAAGCCTCATCTTTCTCCCACGGAGCAGCTGGTAGTTTCCAACTGCTGACCCTGAGAATAGCAGTCCGATTCATAACCAGAGCTCCTGGTCCCTGTTGGTACTACCTTTTAAATAGCTCTACAACCTACCCCCTTGGTGTGGTGTGATAAGATGAGCACTGGACTAGAATCACAAGGTCAGTGGTTCAAACCCACCAGCTGCTCTTCAGAAACCCTATATAGGGTCACTATGAGTTGGAACCAACTCAATGGCACTTAACAACAACAAAACAACAACAATCTACCAACCTAATTCTAGTCCTACTGCCACTAGTTTAATCTGGCCACCAACTTCTCTTGCCTGGGTGATTGCCATTGCCTCTTTACCCACATCTCTGCTTCTAATCCCCCCTTCTAATCATCACCCTCTCTGAGGCCCTATGTGTATTTTAAAGCCATCTGATTATGATTATCCTTCAGTGGGTCCTAGAGCTTTTAGGATCTCAGAAGAACTCCTCAGCTTTCCATATCTCTATGTCCTGTAATCCTTGTCTACTTATCTGGCCTAATCTTAGGGCCCTTCCCACACCCATTTCCCCCCACCCCCCCGCCCCCAGTCATATAGAAATATTTGTGGTTTCTTGGCCATGTAGGATGTTTATGCCTCTGTTCTTCATCTCATGCCACCAATTCCCACTCAAGCTTTAGAACTGAGCTCAGGCATAACCTTCCCCAGCTTGGGCGAGGCTTCCCTCCTCAGTACTGCCAGTGCTCCTTGCACATCCTCACATTAGCACTGTTTTAATTCATTATCCTGTTCACATTGCTGTCTCTGTCATTTGTTGTGAGTTTCTGGAGACCAGGAACCTACCTGTCTGTAGATCCCTGGTCCCCAGCTAGGGCTCAGGACATAGATGCATCTTCTGAATGAAGCAACAACTTAAACTCTCAGCCAGACTTGGAACAAATTTAGAACCGCATCAAGTACAACAAATGGAATTTCAGAAAATAGATGGACACATACAGTTAAAAGTTGACTATGTGTGTGATGTAGAAGCTTCCCCAGACACAGAAACTTACGTAGCTCATGAAGATCCTCTCATTAGGCTTGAGGTGCCTCTGGATTTCACAGTCCACGGGATGGATGACGGTAATGCCGTCATCAGAGAAGACATAGAACATGTTTCCCACACTGAGGCCTGGAAGGAGCAAACACAATCACAGTTAGGGCTCCCAGCAGCTGGCCCTGGGCAGGGTCACAGGCAACATCAAGTACACACTGATGCAGCAGTTTCAATGTAACTGACGCAGGCACAAGAATCCTGATCAAGGTGAGCTGAGCCACCTTGATCAAGGTGATGCGCAGCCAACTCACCCACTCCCTGGCTGGAGAGTGTGTATGTGTGTGTGGGGGGGCATGTAAAGAAATGGCCCTTGAGGGCTGTGAATCAATGAATCAATAAAGCATGTCACAAACTCTCACAATGCCAAGGCCAGACTCCCAGACAGGTCCTCCAGAGCTGGCCTTCAACACAATTTTTTAAGTGACACATGTTTGACTTTTCCTGTTCTGGAAGAAAAGTCTCCTTTGATCATTTGTTGGAAAAAAGTCAGAATGAATCAGAAGACTCCAAACTAGGACAGGCTTTTATCTGATTCCTAAAGCACATCTGTGTCCTGTAACACTCCTTGGGAACATGGGGTCCTAAGAATGCTTGAAAGTTCCTGGTTGGTGTAAACAGTTAATGTGCTTGGTTGCCAAAAGAAAGGTTGGAAGTTCAAGTTCCACCCAGAAATGCCCCAGAAGAAAGGCTTGTCATCTACTTCTGAGAAATGAGCCTTTAAAACCCTATGGAGCAAGCCCTAAACTGACAGAGACTGGGTTGCCATGAGTCAGGACTGACTTGATAGAAACTGTTTTTTTTTTTTAAAAAAACAAAACAAAACAAAACAAAAAGAATCCTGTGGTTGGTATTTTTGTCCAACTTAGTCCTGGCTGGTCTGGGTGGGCTAACTTCCTCCTTTTGACAGCTTGCTCACACTTCCGTCCTGTCTGATTCTCTGTTCCTGGTTATGCCCACCTGCCTTACCCGTGCTGAAGACTGTGGATGTTGGGGAGAAGATGCAGCTCAGACTGGCAGAGGAGGGGTCTTGGGGGCCAACTAGTTCAGTCTCCTCATTTTAAAGACAAACTGAGGTCTAAGGAGGAGAAGGGCCTTGGTCAAGACCTCCCGTTTTTGTGCTAAAGCTAGAGTTAGATCCCGAGTCCCTGCCTCTGTATCTCCACAAATGAGACACAAGGCACAAAAATAACTAAGGGCTAGTGTTATCGTTCCTTTCCACCCTCTCCTCTCCCTTATCATTCATCTCCAACTCTCTCCTCTCCCTCCATTTTAAAGCTAGAACAGATAGAAGGTTCCAATAAATTTTAAGAAAATTATAGTCCCTCATTCCTAGAATACTGAGAAAACTGATGTCTATGTGTCTATTGGCCTATGTGCCTACCTGAGTCAGTTTTTAGTGAGTTAGAGAACAGCAAACCAGGAAAATAGGAATCACAGTTACATTTCCTCCCAGTGGTTCTGCAGGCAGTTTTCTGGGCCCCTAACCCTTGGCAACCTGGTGTGACTCTGTGGGTTAATGCGCCAGACTGCAAAGCCGTTTGAACTACAAGCTCGGTGGTTCAAACTCACCAGTCACTCCTTGGAAACCCTATGCAGGGTCGCTATGAGTCAGAACCGACTCGACGGCACTTAACAACAACCACCACCCTTGGCAACAGCAAAGAAGCAAGTGTAGTTTCTGATATAACTTAAGATCCTTCACTCTGATACAGCCCTACTGTTCTGGGTAGGTGGTTCCTGCTTGAGCCTGGTCTCTCTGAAGCGGTAACCTCAGGGAGGACTGCAGAACCCCAATGGGAGTGCAGGTGTGCTGAGCAGCCTGGTTCTCTAGAGCCACTGGAAGCTGGCCACCCACAAGTGTCTCCTTCATGCTCCCATTGCATCTAGAGGATTGGAGCAGAGGGTGCCTGTATGTGTTTGCTAGCCTTTGTTCTGACCTTCTCTTTCATACTCTCTTACCTGGCAAACACCTTTCAGTCAAACCTAGGGACCAGAGGGAGTCAAAATCCTTGCTATACCACAGACCCTACGAACTGCTTCCTTGGGCTTTCTGGGAAATCGATAGCTGGAAGAGCCAACAAAAGATTGAAGGCTTAATAGAATCCACATGGGGTTGGTGGCAGTAGCTGCGTCTCAGGCTGAGCACCGTGCTTTGCTCACAGTTGGTGCTGTTACATGAGGCTCAACAAATCCTCATCCAACAAGTAATTGACTTCGCAGGAGGCCCCCTGGAAGGTTCTGTCTGAGTTTAGCTTCTGCTCAGGGGCACACAGAAGCTGCCTTTGCTTTTGTCTACTCTCATCAACTCGTTTCTCCTACGGTGATTTCTGAGTGCTCCAAGGCCTGTGCCGCTCTGCCTCCAGGCCTCAGATTTTAGCAGCAAAGGTGACAAGTTTCCAGTGGTTTTCTCAGCATGCTTGTGAATTGGTTCACTGCCCAGATTTCCAATGTGAATACACTGCCAGCCAGCCTCTAGCTAACGCCAGGGCAGCCGTGAGGTGAGTGGGCTTTAGGGCCTCGGTGACTGCATCCACACACCACAGGGCCTCCCTGCATTCCTTGCAATTCTCTACTTTTGAAATTGTAGCCCCTCTGCAGTAACCTCACCTTAGAAAAACAAAACTAGGATTGCTATGAGTCGGAACGGACTCAATGGCACATAACAACATAAGGACAAAGAGTGACCAGCTCTCTGTGTGTAATGGCATTGGTGCTAGAGTCAGACAGCATCAGGCATGAGTGCGGGTCTCTGATCAGCAACTGCTCCTCTGACTTGTTTGTCCCAGGATTCCGGAAGCCCACTAGCAACAATTCCTCACTTTCTGGCTTCAGCCTTCATTTGCTTCCAGACTGTTTGCACTCTTGTGCCCTTGACTCACAAAATGGTTCTGAGTATGTGTATGCATGCATGTGCCAGGCTGTAGGTAACACTGTACAAAGTTCTTGAGAAAAATCAGACAGGCAATGTACTAGCTTGTACATTCTAAAATTGCATAGTGTGCTCGGTTGCTTCATATACTCCAACTGTGCCCACCAAACTGGTTTTAAGATGGTTTGAACTCCCTCTGGTTCCTAGAGATGTTTGCCAGGTGAGACAATATGAAAGAGAAGGCCCTGCTGTGGGCAAGATAGATGGGGTCAGAGCAGATGAAGAAAGGGGTCCAACATGCACAAACGCCCTCCCAGCAGTGACCCACATTTGTGCACCATCTTTTCAAAGTATTGATTGGACCACAGAAATTGCCAACATGAGGGAACTTAAAAAAGTCAGTAGATAAATTTAATTATCTTTCAATTTGATTATTTCCACAAATGTTTTTGAAGTCCCCTTGTAGAAGACCATTTTTGACTCAGAAAATGTCAATTATGATTGAACATAATAGCTAAAGATTATCTGATCATGAAAAGACATACTTTAAAATCTATGTAGTTTCAAATGGAATTTCACAGCCACCATGGCACCCTTTTTTCTCCTAACTCCTCTTCAGAGTACAGAGTATACTTCAGCCACAACTCCTCTGAAGTGGACCTGAATTTTTTTTTTTTTTTTTTTAAGACAGTGCAAGAATAGTAAAGCACTAAACCTAACATCAATGGTAGCTACTGGAAAAATGTTTAAGGCCCAGAATTTCTGGCAATCTCTGTCAAATGGTTTGCTTCTGCTGGAAGCTACAAGCAGTTTTTAAATGGAAACTTTCCGTTAAAAGTTGTGCCACTGGATTTTAGATCGGATTCATTGTGTGCCATTTGAGCTGGCATTGACCTCCCCACTCAAAGGTATGTGGCACAGAGGGCCCCCTTGTGGGTACTGCTTGGTGTCTGGACAAGCTGATGGCGGCTCATGGAAGGATGGTTCTATGGAACCACAAACACGTGATTACAAGCACAACAAGAACAATGAAGCTGGGTACCTTCCTCTCGCCACAGAATGTTTGCGACTGCAGTGGTGGAGAATTGGGAACGCATAGGAACACGATTAAGAAGGAAAGAAGAAAGCAATATCAACACCTTCGTTATAGTGATTCAACTTATGAACATACTGAGACTTAGTTCATCAGTTACAGACTTGGTACCATTCATTATCCAACAAATAATACTGGGGGTGAAGAGAACTCTGGAGATGAACAAATGCTTCCAGGTCTTTAAGGTACTTTTGATGCCTACATTCGGTAGGCGATAAAAAAAAAAAAAAAATGGCTCCCACATTTCTTGGATTACTACCAGGAGAAGTCTGATGTTTCCACTAGGATTTTGAAAACACCCAAGAAGAAATACTTCTGATTATCTTGATGATAAAGACTCTGACTAAGGGACAAGGATTGGGACAATGAACTGTGTCCACGGAAGCATACCTGCAGACCTCCTTAGAGAGCAGTGACTATAGGGAGAGCACATGCTCAGTGGCTGTGAATGTGTGCTCAGACCAGTTTATGGGCCATTGTGGGATGGCAGTGCCTGGTGGGAGGACTGAATGAGGGGTTGTGTGGCTGAGGGGCAGAGGCTTAGGCCACACTGGGGCTGAGATAGTCCTTATGATCCATCCTGGGTTCTGTCTGCCACCCACAGAGTTTCTCTGGTCTATGTTGTTGGAATGGTCTAAGTTTGCTGTGAGTTCTGCTCACTCCTGAGCACCCTTCTCTTTGCAGCTTTGTGATGACTAGCGGTTGTGACCCTGATTAGTCAGTGGCCTCCTGTGCCACCCAACACTCCACCAACCACTCAATGAGGAGCTTAAAGGCTAGCGTGCACTCACGGGTCTTTCGGGCAGAGTCTTCAATGAAGAGTGAGGAGATATCTTCATCCACACCCACTTCATTTTTGGCAATGCACGTGTACGCCCCAGTGTCTTCATACCGAACACTGGCGATGTGGAGCTCACTCCCGTTGGCTGGAGAAAGGACAGTGCTCAGGATGACCTGCTCAGCTGGACACCCAGCTACTCCCTCCCCATTCTTTTCATGGCCCTTGTGAAAATATTGGGATTAAAAAAAAATTACCAGGGAAACCAATATCCCTATTGTATGCCCAGGAAGGTCTGACACAGTGGAAGTGAACCATGACCTGGGACTGACTGAGCCTCTCATCACTGCCCTCAGAAATCACATGAGACCTGTGTGAGCCCAGAGCTCAGGAAAATCCAGGTGACACTTGTTGGCTCCTAGATGTCTGACTTGGAACCAAATCATGCCTTTCATTTCCAGTCCTGGGAAAAGAGGCTCAGCTGGAGTTGGATGGGTCAGTCACTGAGTATAACAAGGGTGGTTAGTTCTTACCTAAAAGAGATAGCTGTTTAGACATCTGGGTTGAGACATTCATGCCATTTTTCAGCCAAGTGATTCTGGGCATGGGAATACCCTCAGCGTGGCATCTCAGGCTGGCCGCCACCCCGGGCTCCTGTGCTTGGGTCTCCGGATAGACACGGATAACAGGTGGCACTGTGGGTGAGAGTCAGCACAGATAAGAAGAGGGCCTCACCTGACCTTGGGCCTGTGGTCCAGCCCCAAGATCCTGCTTCCAAGGGATGAACCTGAGAGGGGTTCTGGAGTTCTCTTCTGACTCAGCTTACAATGATTCTGCTTGGCAACTCAGAGTCTAAAAGAAAGGACTATAAAATGGATTGCAGGTAATAAACATGTCAGGCTTTCATTAAGCCTTAATTCATGGATTTCATTATCATTCTAAATATAATCAGTAAGACATCCAAATATTTAATGCTGTTCAATGGCTACATGTAAAGAGCAACAGTCTCTGAAATTGATTTCTGAATGTAAAAGATTCAGATACATTACGTTTTTCTGTTATCGGAAAGCCATTGGACAGGGGGTTTAATTTTTTGCAGGAAACGCTTAACAAAGTACTTGTAGGCATTGACTGGCAGGGTTGCTAATTACATCATTGCTTCGGGCATATCCATTGATTTTTCCACTGGGTCATTTTCATTTCTTCACCTCCCACTTTCTGGAACATGGGTTGAAAGGCATGCCTTCCTTAGCTCTAACATTCAGGTCCAGGGCATGCTAGCAGCTGTGGCTGCTAGTGTTCAGGTACAGGGCAGAGGGTGTGACCTTGTCCACTCACCTGGTCACCTGGTCCACAGGCCAGGTGGATCTTCCTGTCCCTACCTCTGGTATCATAAAAATAATGATCTATTTCAGTGGAATTGAGGTCTATTCCTAATTCATAAGAGAGACTGTAGGTGGTATAATGATTAATGCACTCCACTGTTAAACCAAAATGTTAGAGGTTCAAGTCCATCCATAGGCACCTCAGAGGAAAAGTCTGGCAATCAATCTGCTTTGAAACATCAGCCATTGAAAACCTTATGGAACACAGTTCCACTCTGACACACATGGGATCATTTCACTATGAGTTGAAATCAACTTGATGATAATCAACAACAACATAGTCATGCATTTTACTCTACATACTTCCCAAAAGGGTTTGTGAAAACATATAGTAAAAAACCAATACTCGTCTGTCAGCTTGTCTACTGTGGTGGCTAGCATGTTGCTGTGATTCTGAAAGCTATGCCAATGGTATTTTAAATACCAGCAGGGTCACCCACGGTGAACAGGTTTCAGCTGGGCTCCCAGTTTAAGACAGACTACTCTGAATATTTAGTCACTAAAAACCTTGTGAATAACAGTGGAACACTGTCAGCACCAGAATACTGAATATTGAAACATGAGGAAGAGCACCAGAATATTGTTAGATATAGTGCCTGAAGATGAGCCTGTCAGGTTGGAAGGCACTCAAAATATGACTAGGAAAGAGCTGCCTCCTTAAAGTAGAGTTAACTGTGATGATGCGAATGGAGTAAAGTTTTTGGGATCTTCATTTGCTGGTAAATAAAGAGAAACAGCTGTAAACATCCATTAGTAATTAGAGCATTGAATGTATGAAGTTTGAATCTAGGAAATTTGGAAGTTGTCAAAAATGAAATGGAACAAATTAGGATAAATATCCTAGGCATTAGTGAGCTGAAATGGACAGGTATGGGCCATTTTGAATCTTA